TTCGGAGCAGTGTGGTGTGTTAGAAAGCAACGAGGGATGAATGATGCTTTTACACCGTTTAGCTGCTCTTTTATCTTTTTCTTGGATTCTGGGACTTTTAATCATTCTCACGACACCTGCAGCTAACAGCTGCATGAGTTCTGCAGCTAAGATGAAGGAAAAAAATCACTCGTCTATTTTAGTATGGACATACAATGTCTGTGCAGTTGACAACTTACCAAACCCCTTGGTTATCCTTAGATCTACACCTACATCCCAAATAATACATGAATTACAGCAGCTAAGAGAAAAAATGGTCATAATGTGGAGGAAAAACCCAAACGCGTGCGTGTGGATTTCACAGAGAAGCCAGTGTCCCATTTTAAACTGTTGCCTCAATGTCCTGGGGGTCGTCCCCCTCCAGCAGGCTGTAAGATGCATGACTCTGGAAAGGCCTTTGTAAAGGGTGAGCCAGAAGTTTGGCCATGCAATTGTGCAGCTCAATGGCGGGTCCGCCTAAGGAAACCTCAAAGCGGTAACACATGCCCTTAGAGTCCAGGTTACTGAAAGAGGTGTAGTTGTCCTGGAGAAAAAGCAAATACTCAGTTTAAGAGTATGCAAGAGAATATCAGGTGAGACAGTGTAAAACAGCTTTTTACATACAGAATCAAAAGGCCGGTGCTGGTTTTTAGTGTCAGTACTGCAGTTTTATCATCACTGGGTGTGAACACGAGAGCAGCAAAGGGTTTGAAGGTGAGTCGGGCGTGCAAAAGCTCCACAGCCCAGAGTTTGGCATCGCTGTCTTACAATGTGCAGAAAACTTTTTAAGCTTGGAGGCATAGATGGTTCATTTTTTCAAATATATATTTTGGGGGGAGCTCTTAGCCTTTAATGAGATGGGACAGTGGAGAGAAGACTTTTCAAACATGCTGAACACTGACGAGAAACAAGGACGTACTTTATGTTTAGACAAGTAAAGGTTTGGATTTATTCAAAGGTTACAACATGCACTCACTGGACCTTGTTGGTACCGCTTGTCTCAGCTGTCTCAATCCTTTGGGTCACTGATTCAACAAAACGCTGGAAACATTTCTCAGAGTTTTTGGTTCTTCTTGACGTGATAGCATCACGCAGTTGCTGCACAGTCATCGTGGAAATCTCCCGTTCCACCACATCCGAAAGGCCAACGCGCTCTAACGGCAGAGGCCATCTAAGTGCAGTGATTTCATCGTCACATTCAAGAAACCAGCTTGAGATGATTTAAGCTTTATGAGATGGTGCGTCACGCTGCTGGGAGCAGCCATCAGGAGATCGCATCACTGTGGTCAGCAAGAAATACTCAGGGGTGTCCAACTCCAGGCCTCAAGGTGTCCTGCAGGTTTCAAATGTGTCCTTGATCCAACACAGCTGGTTTAAATATCTTGAAGTTCTCCAGAGGCCTGGCAATGAACTCATCGTTTGATTCAGGCGTGTTGTCCCAGGGTGAGATCTAAAACCTGCAGGACACCCTCGAGGCCTGGAGTTGGACACCCCTGCTTTAAACGATTCTCAGCTGGTACTAAAAGGACCAAAGTGTGCCAAGGAAATATTTGCCACACTCCAATCTTCTAATTTTGTTGAAGCTGTGCGGAGCGTAGCCTCAGTTTCCTGTTTGTAACTGACAGGAGTGGCAGCCACTGCGCTCTCCTGCTGTTGTAGCCCGTCTGCTTCAACATTAAGGCACCAAAACACGTCACGTTTAAAGTGACTTAAATCACCTGCTATGCTGACATGTGATTGGCCGATTGGATATTTGCATTAACAAGCAACTGATCACGTGCACCTAAGAAAGTAACCAATGAGCGTATAGTGTGGTTTGTGTAATACTTGCTAGCTCAAGTTTGTTGTCAGTAAAGCACTCACGCACAGTGTGCCATTATTGTGTCGTCTTATCCACTGAACTAACTTATTTTAGCAGATTTGATCTTGATCACGAGGTATTTTATGTTCCTCTGTTTTCTTATTCCTCATGTTAATAATCATCCACACGTCCCCCCCTTTGGTAGGACAGTAACTGCATCGCTGTGGCACAGCATGAAGCTTGTTTGACTCCTTTAACCACCCGGGCAGTGACAGTCTAAGGCTGCGGTCAGTTTGAGACTGGATACTATTTGATCCGATGGTTTATGGACCGAGACCTCTGATGAATGTTTCCAGCACCTTGTTGAACCTGTGTCATACAGATTTAAGGCACTTCTGAAGGTAAAAGGGCGTCAAACCTGGTACATGGAGCTGCTGCACACAGTTTGAACCAATAACCCTCCATCACCAGCTTCTGCACTCACCCTCCAGCTGGTCTCATCCCCCTGCTCTTCCACCCCGTTGTGCAAATAGACCACGTCGAAGAAAAAATATGGCGACTGCAGCATTTTCTGTGACAGGACAGAGAAACACAAAGTGCACAGTCAGGAACAGGTCCCACGTGTAAAAACTAAAATACAGACACAAAGAGAGACTGTGCTGTACTTACACTAACAGCCTCAGATGGGTTGAACTGCAGCTGCCCAGCATGACGGCTGTAGATAAGCACAGTCCGCACCACATACGGAGGCGGGATAGTCTGAATATTCTCCATCAACGGCAGCTCGATTTTCTGACGTCTGCAAAGGCACAAAATGAGCAAACAGTTGAAACACTTATGTGTTTAGAAGCTAAAAAAATTGCATTTTTAATCAAATTTACAGCAGATCTGTTACTTACATGACATTAAGGAGATCTTCCAGGTCTATAAAAGGGGAGTTAAGGGTCAAAACCAAACATCTAGAAGTTACTAGCATTTTTTTGTCAGTTTCAGTTTAAGGATACTGAAGGACTCGCACACGTTGGTCTCCAGGTCATACAAGCAGCTACACAGCTCCCTGGGATCAGAGGTAAAGCCTGACAGCTGAGATATGTCCACAGATGGATTAAATGACGTTACATTAGGGAACTGCATTCAACCGCCATAGACAACAACAACAAAAAGGAACTACATGATCATGCCCAAACAAACGGCTAAGAGTGTGTTGAGTCTTCTACATTTTTTAGAAGTCACACATAAGAAAAAGCATCTCGTACTCACCCACAGGGCGTCATCGTTGACGACCACCAGAGCAAACTCGTGCCGTTTGTCAATCTTGTGTTTTGTTCTGACAAACATCTCAATCATCTTCTGGGATATGTTCAGAGCATTCGTTTTAGACCTAGGTTGAAAAACAGTCAAATTAGGCGGTGAAACTTTGACGACACACAATGAAGTTTAACATGCAGCCGCCTACCCGTTAAAGGACTCCAGCTTTGGCAAAGACATCTCTTCAGAAAGATCTAAGCAGATAATCTGTCATAAAAGAGAAGAACTGACAGTGAAAACGACTTTTTTTTTTCTTGTGACTCTTCAAAAATCAGAAATGCTAAGTGGACCCACCACTTTCTCTGGGCAGTTTACACGGGGCACTCTGAGCTGATACTCTGCCGGTGAAGGGACGGACGTGGTGAGTGTGGGGTGCTGCTGTGTGGACTTTGGCCTGTCTTTGGTTGACACGGCCGTAGTGGACAGTGGTACCGCAGCACTGGCCGCAGCAGTCGCACCTGTGACGGCAGTAGGAGCCACAGCCTGAGCCGTAGACACTGAGATGGTTGCGGTGGTGGAACTTGGAGGGCTGTCGCTGGTCGAGGCCTCACCTTCTCCCTCCACACGACTTCCCACGGCAGGCTGAGATATGCTGGGGTTCCCGTTGCCTCCGAGGCTGCCAGTGCTGCTGCGTCGGTCCTCAGCACCCTCTGGGTTGGAGCGCGTTCGAGGTCGGAGCTCTACAAGACGCTCCTCTCCATCTGCCTGGCCGGGCTCTGGTGTGTCCATTGATAAAGGAGGAAGCTACAGAAGTGGAGGTGGTGAGGTGAAGTTAGTTATTCTGGCTCTCAAAGATTTCTAGCATTTAACAGGTGATGGAATCACTTGACATTAAAAGGCTGGTATAATATTTGTAACTTTGCTTGCTGTCCATCCTTCACAAAGACCAACAAGTGCAAATCCACCTAAAATCCTAAACACGGGCTTCTCATAAACGACACCGCGTGTCCCTATCTTACAGAGGGCACATTTACACCAGACCACCACACAACCATTCTCATCAACTTTAAAATCATATTTCTACTTTCAGTACAAACTCAGTCCAGTGTAAAGTTCATTTTACACACAAGGACTGCTTCTCTGCGTGTTAGCTCGAGTGTTATGTGTAGATAAACGCAGTGGTGTATATTTACAGGAAATATTATTAATTGGCAAAAGCTTGAGTCAATGCGACCAGAAAACCTGACAAAGTGCTAAAAACCACAGCAGACAGAGCAGCTGATGCTCCACGGCTGTAGCAACATTAGCCGTTAGCATTAGTTAGCTTTAACTAAAACAAATACGTCAAATCAGTCACTCTGTGAACTGAAGTATAATTTTTACATTTGGAAGAAGAAGAACAGACACTTACTTAATTATTACGACAGGTCTTGTATTTATATACGGTAACAACTCATTGAGGACTGAGAAATATTCCAACAGCGAGCTAACATTTGTTTTGAACGGACACTTCCTGAACGGAAATGATATGACCAGAAACTGGAACGGGTACAATGGAATTGTGGGTAATGAAGTTTATGGATTGTGGTGCTCAAAAACAGTTTTGCTGACCTAATAATATAGTTTTTACTGCAGTAGCAGTAGTAGTAGTATCATAAAAAGCTTTGTTTGAGTCCACAGATACTGTCATGCATAAGTAATCGATTGATTTATTGATGTATTGAATTTATTCTACCAAAGTGAGTCTTTTACTATATTTTTTGCCAACACCGGTCTGCAGATTGTATCCAAAAAATAAACAGGTAGCATTTTCCTGCGTATATATCACATTTTAACCAAATAGAATAATTCACACCCCCTTTGGTCATAATCAGACATAGAAGCACACTACGGACAAAACAGGAAAGGACTCAGAGTGAAAGGGAATGGGTGGGGATGACTTTTCCACTTACTTCACCCATCACACAAAACAGTGTTAGGCAGACATGGAGAGAGCAGACTTATTACAGAGACTGACTGACTCTTGGAAAATATAATTACACAAAATAGTAGGACGGAAGAAAACAGACCCTCATTTTGTCAATTTTTTTTTTTTTTTTACACACGTGGTAAACTGAGTCACTTCTGCAGTCACACAGATCAGCGAGCATGGAGGTAAGTTATGATGAAATGTTTGAGGGATTGTTTTGAAGGTTTAGTGAGATTGGGAGCAACATAAATCCAGTTGAGCTTATGATATGTGACACAGTATATGAGTTTGTAATGCAGTTCAAAGCTGTCACTGGTAAATGCCTAATGCAGATGTCGCATGTTGCTCCAATATGCCCCATAAGAGAAGAACTGTTGTTTGCAGAACTGCTGCAGCCTCATAATAGAGACTTTTAGATGATTTAATCTGCCCCATTGATAAGGCAGGGTAAGACTTTTTACTGTTTGAAAACATGCACTTTGCACATAAGTAATAAAATCCACAAATCTGAAATCAGAGAGTTGGTCTGACAGCATGCGTAAAGTCTTTATTCCCCCTTTTCATGCCTAAATGACTTTTCTCTGACACTGACTGGGAATAGTTTGGTAATGAGGATAAGGAATTTCAAGTATGTTGCCAACTCTGGCCTGCACCATATATACGTGTGTTATTAAAAAGATGTATGTGTTTAATTGTTTAAAAAGTACATTTTCATTCTACATCTGACTGTAGTTGATTCCATAATTAAAGAGTAACATTTTGTTCTGATTCAACATTTTGTGTCTGAGAGATTTGTTCAGCGTTCTTCATGAAAACAATAGATGGTTCGGTCCACAAATATTTGCTTGGCAGGAAGTTGGATGTCAGGATGTTTTAGTTTCCTCCTTTTCCGTTGCTCAGAACAATAGCTGCCAAACATGTTTGGCTCAATAGCGTAACAGATTTTTAATGCTCATACATTATATAATTAAATTACTTTGCTGTACTCACTGAAAGGTGCTTGTTCACAGGACGGAAGAAGGCTGCATACATCGGGTGTGATGTGTGTTATTATTGGTGCACGCAGACGTGACAGATTGCAGAAATATACAAAAAAATACAGCAAAAAACTAAATGAATGGGTCCACCAAGTTATTTTTTCTTTCAGTCCAAACACGACTCCATGTTTCTGTAGGATTTCAGGCGAGGCAGATGTGACAGTCTGGATGCAGGGTCAAGGTGTGACAAGGAGGCGATGAGCCCGAGTGACTATATCTCCCTCTACCACGAGGGCTGTGACCCTGCAGTCATCCTCGAGCCTACACCAGCAGAGCTGGCTCAGTGTGAGGCTGAAGTGGGCACGCTGCTCAACATCATTGCTGAACTGAACAAGAAGATGGGGTCACTAAAAGCTCCAAGGTAAGCGAGGCGCCCGGCGCGACGGCTGGATTTACTGCAGCATCACCTTTGGCTCCACTTTGACTTGAATACTAATGCCATCCTTACAAGACACCTGAAATCTGTGGATTTGTATTCATCCTTGTGGGCAATACCACACATATTTTCACATTAATAGGGAGTTTGATATTCAACCTATAGCTCGTGTAAACGCACTACTCTTGCAGTGAACCAGATGACACGAGACCGCCGGCTCCATCCAGGCCTCTGGTTCCAGATCTTCTGTCTCACCGGCTCGTTAGAAGCAGCCCAGAAAGAAACAGCCCAACATCTAAACCTCCACTGAATGAGCAAGGTTGGCGTTACCATAGCATCACTCGTTCATCAGCAGAGCTTATCAGTTTGGATGCCATGCACTTTCATCCAATCCAGAAGCTTCCACCGATTAATATTTTATGTTTATGTCCTTTATTGCATATTTTATGTTTGTTTGAGCATCATATACTGCATATATCCCTGCACCTTTGCTTTCTATCCACTAGGAGGCAGTGGTGTTGTCTGGAGCAAACTGCAGGAGGTTTTATCATCAGTGGAGGACTCCATCAGCTTCAGAAGGACCTGGGCGGCCCCCATCACAGCTTCTGACCAGGAAAAGCACAGAGAGCATCTGAGAGCAGCTCAAGAGAACTGGGTTAAAGCCAGCCAGGTATAAGTTAAAAACAAATAAGAATAATCACAATTAAAACATCTATTAAGTAATTTAAAGCTGCAAAGCCCAAGAAAAAGAGCTTCAGGTCCATATACTGGCTCTTCTTCTTTCATAAAAAAAGAAAATGCAGCAAGGATCAGTTTATGAGAAAAAAATGTCATTGTTCAGACTGTCTTTAGACTCCCATCAGTCCCTTTCATGATCCTGCTTCATTTCCAACAGATATTGGAAGAGATGGAAAGAGAGTTTGGGATTTCGTGCCGGTCGAGCTTCCCAAGAGACCAGTACCAGGAAGACATGCTGGATGGGGACAAACAGGAGTCTGCTCTCAGAAGCCCCCCACAGAGCAGCATCAGCCAGGTGGAAGAGGAGAAGAACAAGGTGGGAGAAGATGTCTCGTACTTTATTAGCCAGAATGAATCTCGTTCAGTGGACAAAGATCCAATAAACACTACAAGAGACTGACAAGAATCAGTGCAGCTGCCTTTCTCCTGTGTTTCAGCTGGTTGGTCTCCATAAAGCCTGGAGGTCTGGCGGCCACATTCCTTCCTACCGGCCCACTGCTGGGGCCCTAAGTCCAGACTGGGCCTCGCCCCCCTATCCCGGTTCACCTTTACTCCACAGGAGAGCCAACAGAGCTGTGACGCCTCTGACTGTGGGTGGGGATGGATCTCCACTGGGATCAGTTAACTCGGGCAGTCTCTGTCCCAGCCCCCTCAGCCTGGAGTCTGAGACAGAGCGGCTCAACAGGTGGGAGTGATTAGCAGCTTAGAAGGTTTAGGAGTTATAAATAAAAATAAAAACTCGACTACCACATTGTTGACACACGCTGTCCCTGTATTTACATGTATGTAAAGAAAGACACAGATACAGTTTCACTTACTAGACTTATGACTACATGTTCTTATAACCTCCCACAGCTCATTTAAAGATTCAGGTAGATATCTGTAACACTGGTTCTTATCACCTTTCTGCTTTAACAGAGTACTCAAAGCATTTTATACAACATGCCACATTCACCAGTGCTTTCTATTTAACATTCACACTCCGACTTGGGATTAGTTTTTATGCCCAAGGATAATTAGCATACAGGCTGGAGGAGCCAGGGATCGAACCACCAACCTTGCCATTAGTAGATGACCTGCTCTGCCTCCTGAAGACCGCCTCAAAGTGCTTATAAGGGTCAAATCTCAAATCTCACTGGTCTGATTGATGATGTAATTGCTGAAGTTTAACTCAACCAATCAAGTAAAGCAGCTTCTTCATGTGTTATTTTGATCATTAAAGCCATTTCACTCTTAACCCCAACCAATCACAGCAGATGGCCCCGCCCCTCCCTGAGCCTGGTTCTGCTGGAGGTTTCTTCCTGTTAAAAGGGAGTTTTTTCCTTCCCACTGTCGCCAAAGTGCTGCTCATAGGGGGTCATATGATTTTTGGGTTTTTCTCTCTGAAGCGCCTTGAGGCGACTTTTGTTGTGATTTGGCGCTATATAAATAAAATGGAATTGAATTGAATTAATCCCCTCATCCTCACTCACTTTACCGCAGATGCATCGAGAGGCTGAAGGCCAGAAACGAACGTCTCACTGCAGCTCTGGAGCGAAGGAAAGGAGAGTCGGAGCAGATCAATCTCACGCTGAACAGGCTTGAGTCCGACTGCTCGGCCCTGCAGATGGCTCTCAGATACTGGTACCAATAAATATTTCTGTCTGTGTCAACGCTGGACGAGTTCGTTATCACCTGTCAGAAACCATCAGCACGCACAGGTCGGTTTAACAGTATTAGCAAGGTCACGTTTTGTGTTTTGCGACTGACAGTGAGGAGTGTGAAGAGGCCTACGGCGAGCTGCTGTCGCTTTATGACGCCAGGAAGCAGCAAAGCAGTCCTCAGCAGAGTGTCTCAGCAGGTGATGGAATACCGAGTTTTAATACTGCTCGCACCAAAGAGCACTCACATGTACAATATACGGCTTTCAAGCATTAGACACAGTTGTGTTCTCTCTTTTTCCCATCATCAGAGCCGGTCGGCGACAGTCGGGACCCAGACAGTCCATTAGCTCAGCTGAGGAAAATGGGCACTGAAGAGCTGTCCACCTCCTTCTCGACAGCAGGGGTCACAGAGGAGACGGAAACAGCGAGTCACACCGGGCAGAGGTGATGTTTTAAAACGCTTACACACAACAAAGCTGACGAAAGAGTTCAAGATCACCGTGTAGGAACTTCAAATATGCAAATTTCTTGGGCTGCGCTTTTGTCAGCTTGTTCACTGCAAGTAACCCCACAGGACGCCCGAGCCTGAGGATCGGGAGGCGGCTCTCCGGCAGCAAATTGAGCGCCTGAAGAGGGACCGGGCAGCCATTTGCCTCCCTAAGCCAGGTCCAGGAGCAGAGGCCAAACTGAGCCCACCTGGACAAAGAGGGGGTCACATGACTAAAGACAAACCTGATAACAAGAAGGAGAAGGCTTCCCTGTTTTATGAACTGATCTCAGTCAGGGTATGACGTACATTACAATCACACCATGGCCAGGAAAAAAAAATAAAAGCATGCAAAACTATGGATGCAAAGAGATTATGAGTGAAACAGATTTATTCAAAGTCAAGTCAAAGTCAACTTTATTGTCAATTCTGCCACATGTACAGGACATACAGAGAATAGAAACTTCGTTACTCTCAATCCCTAGATAAAATAGAAAATGAACATTTAAATATAAGAGTGAAAAAATGCAAGTAAAATATTTTAAAGTAAAAAAAATTAAATAAAATTAAATAATATAATACAATTTTACATATAACAAGAAAGCTATACAATATACAATATAAGGGTAAATGACATTGAGTGCAAACCAGGCAGAGTAGTGCAAATAGGCAAATAGTGCAAATGGAGATTTAGTAATGTACGGTAAGAGATAGTGTAACAACAAAGCAAAATTCTATGAAAGGAGTAAAATATTTGCACAATTTCCTAAAACACTGTTTGCATAGTACTCTAAATACATATACAGGATATAGTGGATGAGACGCCATGAATATACAGATTATAATAAATTCATAATAACTCAAACAAAAGTGCAAACCAGCTAAACGAGACAGAGTTTCATGAATTTACATGCAAACAAAAAAGAAAAATCAGGGGACACAACATCAGGATATTCTAAAGAAATCTTCATGCATTGACAATCTGAGGTAATATTTATCAAATCAATAGAGGAACCAAAGCTGGGCTTTGGTGCCTCTATCCAATCATGTAGCTGTCACTCTTTAAATAACCGCTTTTGTTCAGGAGGAGATGTCAGATCTGCGAGCTTTAATCCGCCTCAAGGAGAAAGAGCTGAGGTGTCTGGAGTGGAGTTTAATGGGCCAGAAGGCTCAGGGAGCAGCTGGAGTCTTCATCCCAGAAAGTCTCCAAGAGGAGGTGGAGGATCGTAGGACTGAACAACAGGTAGGATACAATCCAGATGGGGTTTTTATCCTTTCTTTTTTTCAAATTGGAAAATAATACAAAGTCAAGGTGAAACGAGCAAGAGGGAGCAGGACGCTGGTCTACTGTGACAGACCCGATTCAAATATGGGTGCCCCACGTGGGAAATCACACATCTACAAAAGCAGAATCCCTCCAGGCCAGGAAGGATATTTTGGTTCCACAAGGTCTTCTGCTGAGCTGTCCTGTCACTGCAGCACAGATTCATGCCGCGCATTTCTGTCATTGTCAAATGACAAAGAGTGGAACAGCTCCTTTAGCTTTCCTTCCCCCCGTGATGTTAATTTGCACTGGCTCTTTGCCTCCAGATTACAAATGTGAATAGCTTTCAAACTTCCTGTGCTGCACGCTGCCTGGTTTCTGCAGACTGTGTCCTGTTTGGCTGCTTCACCTAAAATCTCAGTCAGCGCCCAGGCCGTGTAATAAATGCTGCGTGTACATGCAGGCGTCTGAACCAGCTGATTTTGCTCAGCTGGAGAAATTAGACCCAAGTATTATGTTCCTGATACGGTCAATGATAAAAACAAATGATGTTAGAATCAGAATACGTTTGAGGAAATTATGCGGTCACATCGCTCTGAGACAGTAAGAGCAGTAACTGACCTCCGGCAGGGATGGTTCCTCTGTCTCTCACTGAGCGTGCTCCTGTCACTGGCCAACACGTCATGTAGTGGGTGGGAGGTATCGTCCAGCGTCGTCCTTGTCCTGGACAACGTCCACCTCTCTGACACCCCTTTGAGAGTCCAGCTCCATCCCCACAACACTACTGGCCTCGCGGAATGATTTTATTCGGTCTGTTGGACACTGAACTGCAAGAAATACTCTCGACCAGCAGCCCCAGCCTCATAGTAGCTCGTATGGTATGAATTAGAAAATCTCAATTAATTGCATTCACAAGGTTTTGAGAAAACTTGACCTCTGACCTTGACCTTGAGGTCAATATTGGGATATCAAATCCACCTCATTTTCAAGCTATCATACTCACAAACTTCGGTGTCCACGGCCAACAGTGTCCCATCAGCCTTAAAGTGTAAAAGCACTTCAGAGCTAAAAACACGAGACATTGCATGATGACAGTCTGGCGCCTGGAGCCACAGCTTTAGATTAAAGTGCACATACGCCAGAGGAGAAGTGAAGACACCTTTGGGACTTTGGGCGTTATCTTAACTGAACGTTGTGTTTCAGAGGCTCTGTGAGAACGCAGCGAAGCTCGGTTGTGAAGGGGACATCGCTGGTTATAGGACAAGACCCATCCTGAAAGAGCTGCAGGCGGTCCTGCAGAGGTGAGGGTTGGATTCTGTCTTTTCCATACCTGTCGGTGTCATATGGCCTCTATATGGAAGCACTTTAGCTCTTGACAACTTCTAGTTTCGTGTTTTAACAATAAAATCTGATAATAATTATGATAGTAATTATCTGGATGTTGAATATGTGGACGTACTTGAATATAATCAGGTTTGAAAATGTGTCAGACATCTCTTGGCCGCTTTGAACTGTTGCTTAGGAACGCTGCAGACTTTGCACATAAAGAATTTCTAGCTGTTTCTCTCCACGATGTGCTTCAGAGAGCACCTTTTCTCTTCTGACCTAGAGTGCTGAATACTTTTAAATAAAGCACTCCTGTTAACACAATGCGTCACAGCGGCCCTAAGGCCAAGGACGCATGTTAAATATGAGTCTGTGAGTAAACATCTTTTGTGCTTGCAGCAAAATGAATAACCTCACAGCATGTTTACCCACTGACCTCACTATTTCTTTTTTCCAGGGAGCAAGCCTTGAAGAAGCGGCTGGCTTTGGTCCATGAGTCACTGAACGCAGCCGTCTCAGACAGTTCCTCCCACAGGAGGGACAATGCGGAGCAGATAGCTCGCCTCACACAAGCTCACAGGTGAATGGAAAAAGAAAGCTGCTGAATATACTTCTTTGGTGTCTGTTCATCAGGCCCTTTGTGCTCAGCTTGAGTCAAAGTTAAAAAGTCATGTGGATCTTTTCGTCGCAGCAAAGCCTTGAGTTCATACCGTCAGATACGGAGGAAGTATCGGGAGCAGGTGTGGCGGCTGGAGCAGAAATTGGCGGCCTCGATGGAGAGTCGACACGGCCAGGGCGGAGCTGCAAAAGCTGCAGAGGAAGCCTTGGAGTGGAGGAGGGAAGAGACTGTTTTATAAGACATCAAGTCTTCGCTGAAAGCCATCTCGACATCCGTATCTTAATCACATCAGCTACATGTGTAAATATGACGAGTATAGCTTTCTGCTTTTATCTAGTTTATATTACATGCTTATATTTTTAGCCTTTTTCTGGGCCTGTAAAGAATATCTATTTATCTAGCAATCATTAATGACATCCAGCACTTTCTTTGGCTCTTGGGGGGTAAAAAATAAAAGATAGCACTGTGATTTCTACCTGAACGGTTGTGTAAGATTTATCAATAAACTGAATTGGACTCTAAAGCTTGGCGTCTCTAAAAGGATCCACATCAGACAAACAGCTGTGACTCAAAGACTGAGCCCACTAAAGGCCTCGGGACTGACCTAACAGTGCACGCGTCCATTTTCCTGCAAACACCAACTGCACGAAGCTGCTGCCAGGCATCCTTCCTTTTGTGACAGCGGGGTTAGTAGTCGACATAGTAGCGTAACTACTCGTTTTCTAAGCCTCGCCTCACTCTCGTATGTCTAAACTTACCTTGTGTATAGTTATCGTGTCTGGAAATATCTGCCTTGTACATTTATGCCGTAATCCCGTTATACTGAGGAACATTTTATGCAAGGTTAAACATAAGGTTTCCATAATGCAGTCTGCACCCTGAAAAGTACCCATGTTGTTTGTTTTTCTGCTAAATCACTAGGAAATGACACAGTCTTTAAATTTACTTACAGTATAATTATTTCTTTATATCCTGTAAAAACCTTATTTGTTACCTCTTTATTCTAGTGTACCTATTTATTTGTTGGTAATGTGCATACTTCCAGATGCACTGGGCTTTTTTAAATTATTATTTCTAAATTCAGTGGATTGACCCTTTAAGACCCGGCTTATTGAGCTTCTCACCTTCTTTGTCACCCACTCGTTCATATTTCAGTCGCTCTGCCTTTACTCTTTATTTCCTCCCCCTCCATCTTCCCTGCTCTCATCTCTCACCCCTCGCCCTGACCTGCCCGAGCCGGTTAGCTGCAGCTGTGACTGCCGGTCAGGAGGTTAAGGCAAAGGTTGAGTGTCACACCCACAGGGTCACAGCGATGCCTGCCTGTTGTGTTAGGCTGTGAATGGAGAGTTCACAGTGCCAGACGAGGTGGCGAGCCCCTGACGCTCCGACTCCTGCCTGAGCTCGCCCTTTCCCGAGCAGAGGTCACCGGAGAGGGCCCGTCCTCCCGCTCCCCCCACGCCTCCAGGTCACCATCGCCATTGTTGTAATAGCTGCCATTAGAGCAGATGATACAATTATCTTTCCATTTTGTGTTGCCGCTCTCTAAGATCTGCGTTAAGCTTCTGAGTTCATCAAAGGTTTTTTCGATGACACGATTGTTGTAACCTCTGTGTGACTCTTGTGTCAAAGGCAACGCAATAAAGCAAAATGTCTCTTGGAAAGACATGGATTTTTGTTCTTTTGTTTATCCTCGAGGGGTGAAAAAGTGTTCAGATGTTTTATTTCGGTACCTAAAAGCACTCTATTAAAAGTCGTCTTTCAATTATCAAAATAAAAGTAGTGACAGTTTATTCATTTTAAACAGCGTATTATTTTTCAGATATCTCGCCACCATGGCAAACTGGAGTAAAATGTATATTTTCATTTAAAATATACTAACATAGTGTAAGTGCAGTAATCATTAAATATACTTTGATACATTATTACTGCCTGTTTTGAGAAATGCACACACAAAGTTCCAGATCGAGTAGATACAACAAAAAATGTCTGATTTCAATAAATGCATATATATTTGCTGTTGTCCGGCTCCCTGCTAATATTCCATGTTTGTTATTTAAAGATGTGTGTAGTACGTTAGCCCACATGAAATGTTTTTGTTCTTTAAACACAACTGGAGCCGACCATTTGAAACATTTTTAATAAAATAATAAAAAAGATTGTCTCGTTTCCGACTCATTAACAGTCCACAAACATACAGATATATAATGACTACTGCTGTCTCTTCTGGCCGTTTTTGTGTGCATGTAAAATCCTAATTCAACTGAATTCATTTGCAACATAATTACAAAAATAAAATAGTTCAATGTAATGTTAAACGCCTGTGATCTAATGTAGTTTTCCACCATTAAAGTGAGAAAGTGAGAAAGGTCTAATCTAATCTAGCTGATACGTGTGCGCTGAAGCATGCGCTGAAATACAGTTTTGCAACAGTGCACTCCCAAAGGATGTGAGATTGGAAAGTCAAACAAAGAGCATGAGAACCGAGCGATTAGCCCCAACAGTCTCATCTGTTAACATTTAGGCTCCATATTTCTGGACACACTTCTACCCCCACGTGTAGCAGCCTCCACTCGAGCCTTTGGACAGCAGCGTTTCTTTTAGTGCCTGGGAAAAATACCCAAAGCATTATTAGACAAAGACAGCGGCTGTCAATCAGTGTGGGGGTGGACACAATCACACATGCACATACGGAGATGGGGGTGGAGGGGTGGGGGTGCTGACCCATGGGTTTCAGGTCAAGTCATTTACTCTCTGCATCCGTTCCTGCATTTGAATAATTTGTCCCTTCGTACGCTGTATAAAGACATCACAGTCTGCACCTTCAGGCCTGTACCTCTTCTTTCTCAAAGCCATTAGCTCACCTACCACAACCACTCCATCTCCTGCTCTCTTTACGCCTCTCTTCTCTGCTTGGTGCCATAGGGCACTGCCTCGCTGACCTGACATGTCACTCCTGAGCTCTCTGACACCAGCCGGCCCATCAGAGGGGTCGGGAGCATGATGGAGGGGGCTTTTGGCACGGCGGAGCGCAAAAGAGATTTGACCTCAATCAAACGGCCTATCACATCTGCTTTTGTGCTCACACACACTCAGATAATGAGATCAAACAGCTCAGGCCAGCAGCCCATCGCACCACTGAGGCCGACTACAATCTTGTTGCACATTATAAGTCCACTTAGGGGATTTTCATGCTTTTATAGGATTGCATGCTTGCCTGTCAGCAGGTTGAGAAAGCTGTTTAGATTTACAAATTCAGTTAAGATCAGTGTTTCATTGTGCTTCGATCAGAGCTAAAGCTTTCATGGAAACAGCTTCCACATCAGAAAAATGAACAAAAACAAGATTTTAAGGTCATTTTTACAGCGTGCTCCTATTCTAATGTGCTTCTCTGTACAATGCAATATTCAACAACAGTATGTGATTTATTGTAATGGAACACATACTGTATATCAAGTACATGTGGTAAAAATTAGAAATGCACAGACTTCATCTGAGAGAGTGCACAACTGTTCTTATAATGTTGGTATAAAGGAAGCCAGAACTACAAATTCTTGCTAATCTTATATCACGCAGGAAGAGAAATCCTTCAGTCCTTTTTGATGCAATAAAGAGGCTGGTGTCTCTATCTTTTTCTGGCATCCCCCATATTCTCTAACAGTACCATTTCCATCCATTTTTGCGTATCCTTATCAGGGAGCAGAAGGGTAAGGTGCTGGAACCTATCCCAGCTACCTCAGCACCATATCTTCACCTACTTGTGCTGATTTCATGTCCTGCAACAATCTTAAAGCCATCAGGTGACGATTGTGTTTAAATCAGCATTAGACTGGTTTCAATTTTACCAAACAGAATTTTCTGTTTTATCACCATTAATCTCCGTCTTTTGGAAAAGGCTACTTTCCAAAGGGATCAGTTTTGGGATCTATACTGTTTAGCTTGTATATTGTATAATTCGGTCATTTAATTAACTTTTTTTTTTTTACCAAATTTTGTATGCATCCATCTCTCCTGTTCTTTCCAACCTAACAAGCTGCCATCAGGTCTTGGTTAAATCGGTTGGCTACATCTAGCTTATGTGACTTTGAGGTTATCCTGAACAGTTTTTGTCTTTAGACTGGCAGGAAGCTGACTCAGCCCTCATTCATCAGAGGAACATTGCTGAGTTAAGACGTTTTAATTCTAAAGTGGAACTGCTGGAAATTGTTCATACTTTTATCTTTCCTCGTTGGGATCAATGCAACTCTCTATTTACCCGTCTTAAATCATCTCTTTAAAACGGAGTGGCACGTCTTTTAACTAATTCGGGAACGAGATCTCTTCAGTTTTAAAAAATGTTTTTTAACTTTATAGACACATTTTTAAAATCTTGTTTTAACCACTGCAGTAAATCTCAGAGCTTTCACACTCAGTTTAAGGAATATTTGTCTCACCTTTATCCGTTTTATTTCTTTTTTAACTGCTTTATTTGCCTGTGAAGGACGCATTATAAATTCACTTACTTTAATAACCTTCACACTTTCACCTGCTCGTCCACACACCACACCGACAGGTGGTTTGGTGCTCTCGATATCAGAGCAGAATTTAACTTTGGGGCCGACCTCAGCTAAAAGCGTTCCCAACCCTCCTCTGGAAAATATTAACTATATATTGTTCATGCTTGATCATTTCTGCTTTATACATTTAACACAACCATTATCACAGCTTATTGTGCTGGAAAGAAAGAAAATAAACCAGCTGCTGATGCTTTTTTAAAACAAGCTAACCGTTTTGATTGTTTTTGAAACGTGTAAACAGGCAGAGCAGTCACAAAGAACTTACAAACACCTAAATACGATGTTTTACATAACAATGCAAATATAATTTAACTTATATTAAAATAACCACTAGCGAGGTAACAGTAGGTTACCAATCACCTGTGGTTGACAACATCGCCTAAGTTCACCGCACAAAGCTTCAGCCTGTTTGGCTACTGTCAGCGTTAGTTAATGTTAATGATAAATAACTAATAAGTAATTATTCATAGAGCCATGTACCTTTATACTTCTACTTTTTTCCTTCACCATAGCTGGTTAGCCGGCAGCTAACCTCCCAAAGCTCCGCCCCCTGAGCAGATGTGGGAGCTCACTTATCTTCCAATGTAAGCTAAGTATTCATTCCCTTCAAATCCAGCTGTATCCCAGCATAGGTTGCAGGCTTTTCTCATTACCTGACGTATGAATATGAATGGGGATTTATGACAGCAAGCCGTCATTGCTTCAGGCCTCCTGCAAGTCCAAACCTCACAAACCTTCATCTCCTGTAAGTGTTGGACCACATGGAAATATGCTAACAGCTAGCTATCTGGAGTTATTGTTCAGCAAACACGCTGTGGGCATCTACAGCATTAACAATGATTTGTTCTCTGGTTCTTCTCATTATCCTCCAGTGAACAGTCCAAAGGCTTAAACTGTCCCTGTTTGATGACATATTTCAGACTCTGGTTATTCCAGCTGTGGAAGCCTGATGGGTAAGCTTAGTCTGTAC